CGCTCGGAAACTAGACGGTCGGGAATTAACTGAAGTTCACTGCTTTTCGTACTTGGGTAACTGCGTGACAAACAACGGTAGTGCACCAAGAGAGGCGGCCGCACGCATTTCCAAGGCTCGAGCAGCGTACGCAGGACTTAAACACCTGTGGCGACGACGTGGTTGTGATACCTTAAATGCGCCAGTAGAAGACATCCGTCGTTTAGCAGTTTTTGACGATCACTGTCTACGTAGTTTGGCTCAGGGGAGATAGGGAGAGCAGATTACTATTAACCTAAAAAGTAGGTTGGGTATTTGGGGAATTCATCCCATCTGATGTTCATCATCATATACTGCTGTCCCGCATGGGGTGCAGCTTTGCATTCCACTTTTTCTCTTCTCGATCAGATCAATGTAAGGCCATCAATGAACCGTTTAGAACTTTAAATCTACAGTTTTTTCCGTTGCTAGACCAGTGCTTCGTTAACAATTGTCTATCGTTACTATTTGGTTTCTGCTTTTCTGAACCCATTTCAGCATTTCCCTTCCCCTTGATTTTTTCTCGTCCATTCTGCTCCAAGACAGTCAGTCCCTCAAGTTTCTGACCCGCGATATCTGACATATATCTTTCAGTCCCCTTTTACGATATGCATTTTGCACCTTCAAAATGTAAAATGTTGCAACAGGACTGGGTGAGTTCAGCCCCCAACTTCAATCTAGCTGGGAACCTAACCGATGTATTGAACAAATTTTGCTATCTGCGTAGTTATATCTCAATCGGCGGGCACATAAAGGAAAAAATATCACGAAATAAAAAGGCTCAATTGGCTTTTGCTAACTTGAGAGATCTGTGGCGTAGTCCTACATTCGACTGTTTGTGAAGGGTCAAGTGTATGCTACAGTTGTTTGGATAGTTCAGCGATGTGGCGCAGTGACCATTACGAAAACAGGATAAAGACAGACTGTCGGTGTTCTACACAGCATTGAATGAATCCAGGGGAAGGGGCGACTAGACAATGCTGAGGTTAGGTACAGAATTTTAAGTATTCCCGGTCGCCCACTGGAGCAAGTGGTCGACCTCCATAAACTACATTTTATGGGGTATGCGTTACCCACGTCACCAAATAGGTTCACACCGGGTGCGATGTTTGTCGAGGTAGTCAGTGGGTAGAAAAAGCCAGGGGTGGTTAAATTAGGATCTAGCATGAGGGTATGAAAACCTTAATCAGGAGTTTGGGTCATATAAGTCACATTAGGCTCCTCGGGTGCGGACATGGGGATCATTGAAATCAGTGGTTACAGACGCTGAGTGACATTGTAGCGAGAAGGCGAGCTGGCGGAGAAAACGTTTATTGATCTAATTCAAAAACGACCGGTGTATGCGTTCAATTATACACATTCAATTCCTAACCGCGCGGCAGGATGATTCCTGCCTCTTTCTGCTGGTCAATCACTGCTGGTTTTGGTCCGCACTTGGCAGGCACATTGCCTATTCTTCCGCGGGCCGTTCCAGCTGGCTTGACCCGATCGTAGCGCGAGATACGTTGATCGACAGCTACGACGTAGTGGCATTCGGTGGATATCTTTCTGGCTAGCTGCGGATTGTCTGTCGGGCTGTAATTGTCGATTCGTTCGTTTCGGGTGGTAGTTAACATTTTTTCTCGAAGTACTTTCAGCCGCTACGTCTGCGTGTCTGGTTGGATGGGTCCCATTCTTGATTCGTTCGCTAGCCGGGGCCCTCTTTGTACCACCTTCCATCACAATATGGTTGAGTGTCGCGAGCAATGGTGCTCATTTATCTCCATTTTTTTAAAAATTATTCTTCAAGAAATCGTTATTTTCACCCTGACAGTGATCGGAAATTTCCTATTTTTTCTTTAGTTCATCTCAATAGGCAGTCATAAAACGGAAACCAAAACCGATCCACAAAAGTGTATGGTTAATGGTCGTCCAAACTGAACATTTTCACAAGGGATGCTAAATTGTGGAACGCTCTTCCCATTTCCGTATTTCCAACCACTTATATATGATCTCGCTCTTTTCAAAACCAGAATTACCGAATTGGTTTCCACCTGAATGTCCCCCCCTTACAGTGTCCTTGAAGCGTTACATCAGGTTACTTGGGTCCTCTGAGTAAGTAGCATTTAGATGAGAACCAATAAATCACTATTCTCCGGCAGCCATCGCAGGAAACATTTCACAGATCTGAAGACATCTACATTTTTGAAATAGTGCACTCGTTAGGTCCTCTTGGAAGTGGCATTTCAAGTAACACATCACCAGAATCTACCACAATCAGCTCTCAGTTGGGAGAAGTACCCGATACTTAAGGACATGTTTTGTGTATTGATAGATCCATATGAATGAAGCGTGACTGTTAAGAAGAGAAAAACAAACAACATTCTCACCTTGTTTAACAAAGCCAGAGGTAACACGACAACACGACGACGTCTGGCCAAAGGAACGGAACCCCGCAACAGATTAACTAAACCTTGCGCTCGACCCAAATGACTCAAGGCATGATCCACAGTAACCGACTTGATGCCTAGTGACACGGAGAGTCAGGCAGATGGAGAAGAGAAACAATTTGAAACGGCCAAACTCCGTATTGAAAAAAGAGGGAATTAAGAAAATACAGGAAATCCGGTTTGATTCATCGGTCGTTCACTGTACACAACGAAGGGCTATGATTACTATAGCTCATCAATTGTCAATAGCGAATAAACAGGTGCTTTGTGAGTGGTTGAAATCACATAAGGAACTCAACATGTCTCATCAAGAACCAACGTAATAGCATAAACTGCCATATCCTATGAAGTCGTCAACCAGTGACTGGGGTAAGCATACGCGAACTAAGCTATATCGGGATCAAGGAGAGGATGGTTAGCCACAAGCGAATAATGCACGAATGAGAATCAGACTGAGTGTAGGTACGTTATGGAACATTCCTCAGATTCCAGAACATAAATAAAACCAACACATATGTGCCGATTTGAAGCAAGTACAATCAAAACTGAGTTGTGATCGGCTTTCCTTAGGGTGTTCCCATATGAGCGAACGACTGAAAACAATACCTGCTGGGTGTTTTGCTTACTATATCCAAGTATTGATGTTTCCCCGACGTGAAAGGACAGAAAATCAACATCCGAGGATTTACGAATTATCCGCGGTTAGCTTTCAAGTGTGTATGTGTGAATACGGCGCCAAATAACCATGGGTTGAAAGAGAACTACAGGAATACATGAAAGAGTACATTCAGACCATTGTATTCAGTTCGATGCCGTATCTTGTAGTGCCTCCAGTCAACAAAAATGTGAATCTTTGGGGCCCCAGGTGGGAAGCCAGATCCGAACACAATCTTTTAATCCTCTACGCCACGTCACAGATTGCACACCGCGCAGTTTCTTCCAATCTGGCCTAATGTCTGCAAATAACGTATGGTAGGGCAGGCTTTGCTCAGGCATTCGTACGACGTACCCCAGGCAACTCAGGGGGATTTGCTCAACAGAAGACTATCTGGCCTTAACACATGTAGTCTGACCTCAGCAATACTCACGCGACACTCCCACTATACGCGGGCGATATTGCGCAAACAACGGTTGTCGAAGACGGACAGTCGTTGGACATGATCTGCTGGGAGTCGTTGGATACGAAGAGGCCAAGTTTCGCAGCCGTGTAGTAACGCAGCGCGTACTGTTGCGCAACGTATAAGCCCTTCAGTGAAAGGGATATGTCGCGCCGGTGCCAGATATGCTGCAGATTAGCAAACACCAATCTAGTTTTGATTGCGCCTTAAGAGATCTCCTCGCTCACATCTATGGCAAGGCGATCGATGAATCTGAAAGCTACTCTGATATCCAAAAACACGACAATAGTAAGTCGTCCCTCCTCTATGATCTTTAAAAAGGGCCGGCAATACATTATCTGATACAACCGCCTTGTGTCGTTTTAAGGCTTGAATGTCCTTTTGGATCTCCGCTTCTGTGGTCAGTTCCGTGGATAGTCCCCGGGGTGAAATATCAGAACTGCTTGGATTAGCCAGCGCGGAAGGCTGGTTGAACTGCACTGTGAAGTGCTCTGCCCATCGTTCCAAGGCTTGGTGAAAACTGCACCTTGGCGTGCCGTCTACTTCGCAACTTGTTTCACTGGAGGATATAGCGAGGATGAGCTGGAACAGCCTCGGGGAGTTTGCAAACCAAGCTGCGGATTCCATCTCATTTGCACTCAGCGTTCACCGGGCTTTCCGGTCGTCTCTGAGGCTCTTTGTGAGTCCACACTTAGGGAGGTGGCAATGTTCATTACACTCGCTGTAGCAAGATTGCTCGACGTGCGTCCAGAAGTCGGTGGGAGTTAGAGGGGATCCAGTGTTTTACAGCTCGGCGGGTTAAGCCACAAAGGCGTCAACAAGCTGACTGCATTACGTTTTGAATGGTTGTCTAGTGTTGACCTACACTCCTTGTCGGGGGAGTATTTAGCTGTGCAGCCAACTCGTTTTCATATTTTGCCAGCACAGCCGGGCCAAAACGCTTTGCAAGGTCAAGCTGCATCTCATCTCATTGTGACAACCGAATCTCAAACAACTTGGCGCAAGCAGGTTCGTTGTCAACACGAGAGTACGTCTTGGCGTGCTGTGGCGGATCGTGCACTTCTTCTACTTAACGAGCTACACAGGATGGTTTTAGCAAGCCAGGAGACCTTAGTATGCCTGGAAGGTCAGATAAACTTCAGTCTCCTGGTCCTCCAGTTTGGGGGCTCGACTTAAATTATCGTGTTAGTCGGTAAAATGGTGAAGTAATCGATTCAAGTAAATGGGGCTCTACTTTGCTTTGTCTGCTGCCTTACGATCAGGTTCTTATTAGAACTAAAGCCTTCGAACGAGAACCCTAATGGTTCTTCTACTTAGTGTCTGGACACCCTAGCTGAACGCATCCATCAAACTCCAATGTATACATATGGATTGTAAGTTTGGCAGCGATCCGTGAATTTCCCTTGACTGTATTTCGCTATACGATGATGATGTGGTTAGAGTCCAAGAAGGTAGACCAAGGCGAAAGGCAGTCTTTCAAACATTCTCTCCAGCTATAGCTGATTGCTATATGATCAAAGAGGGTCTGGACCGAAGAGGGGTTACACCAAGTGGTGAGGTGAAGTTTTGGATGTCTGGAGTTCATGCTAACGACAAAAAGACTGTGTTTTGAGTATATGCTAGAAAGTTCATCCCGATTATCTGAACAATAACTATCGATGTCGTGGTGGCCACCAAGATGAGTCTCAGCGGACAACAGACAGCCAACGCGTGCGGTTAGGTCTCCGAACTGAATCACGACATCCGTCTTAGGTACCTTAACAAGAAGTTCGTGGAGGCTGTGATAGAAAGCACCTTTAACTGTATCCCGAATACAGCCTGTGAGACCTTGAGTTGGCGGATGGAAGGCATCCATCACCCCCATTGAATCTGATCACCAGGAAAGCACAGAACGTATCTGGTGGACTACTACGTCTCAATGGTGAGATTGAGTGTGACGTTTCGTTCAATGGCATGGCATGTAGATTAGAGGACGTATTACCTTACCAACAGGCCCTATTCAAATTTGATGGGTCCCGACTGGATTGAAAAGCTCCATCTCCTGGATGTGTTTGAACAGCGTGTCATTTTCTTTTTTTTACTTATTTTCATTTTAATTCCTTCTATTAAGTATACAAAGGCACAATTTTCAGGAAGGGGGAAGCGGCCAACCAAAGGGCCGCCATACAACACACAATGGAGAAAGACGGGCGGTGGTAGTGGGGTTTGAACACATCCTCCGAGGTGATAATTGGTGGGTTATCACCACCCAAGGTGTGTCGTTACACACGGAAAGTACGTCATCTGTCGAACAATTGTATGCAAACCTGACTACAATTGTTGCTACGAGATTTGTATATATGGTACTTTGCTAGTCTGTGATCGAATATACGCACCCTGAGGTCAATAGCAATACTAAAAGATAGTCGGAACGTCTCGGATTCTTATCTTTAGTGGTTCTGTAATGATAAAGCAATACGTTAACATACGGTATGGTAAACAACAAGGTTTAAATCGAAAGGCAACGTACATTCGAAGTAATTTGACCAGCACCAGTTCAACAAAGAGCACCAATGTGTGGTGGTCAGAGCCAACAGTAAGCAAACCAACATGGCCGGCCGCCAAAACAAAGACCAATAGGAAAGCAAGAAACAGGGGAGATTGTCCGAATAGAGTTTGACTACTGACAACAGTCAATAGTAGCAATGGAACAATTAGACATGTACAGAATGCCACAGTAACCCTCAAGGAGAAGTTTTCATCAGTCTTGCAGGATGGTTTGGGATGCTGCACCAAGACACAAGCTCAGTTGTTCCCCGTACGGAGGTAAAGTCTGTTTTTCGACCCAAACACCCAGGGAACAACCGCATGAATGCCCTCGTCCGAAGCTAAGTCTACTGGCCTAATATGGACCAGCCCTATTGTCGGGGGTTCACATTAATTTTTCCGGACAACTCAGCAGACACCAGTTCCTCGTCGTGGTTCACGTATACACAAAATGACCAGAAATATGCCTAATGGAACGTGCAATCACCGAAACCACCATCAATATTCTCCGCAGCCTGTTTAGCAGGTTTGGATCTCCAGAGACGCTGTTGAGTGACAATGGCGGCCAATTCACATCAGCTCTTTTCTCTGCGTAACGTGAACGATCTGGCACAAAGCACGTCCGTGCACCACCTTACCATCCGCATTTAAACGACCAAGCTGAACGCCTTGTGGACACCTTCAAGCGAACACTTCGAACATTCAACATACCACGGGAGAAGTTCTGGAAATTACTCTACTAAACTACACAGCAACACTAAATCCCAATGTCCCGGACAGTGCGTCTCCGGCCCAGGCAATGTTTAAAAGGAAAATCCATACACCATTCGACATAAGCCTCCCGGAGGGACACAGCAACAAACCCTTGGAAATCGCTCGCCCAACAACAATGGAGCCACAGTTCACCCGGCGCTATGGTACGCATGATTGATCGTTTGAGGGACCAAAAAGTGTTGGCAAAGGATTACCGGAGTAACAAAGAAAACTAGACACTTGGTCGAGTATATCGATGCTGGAAAAAGGTGATCTACAAAATCTTAGTTGACTCTAAAGTGTGGGTGTGGCACATCAACCAGTTAAAACCGACAGCCTGCAGCGATCAACCGAACCGTTGGATATATTAGTGGACACATCCGCCATGCCAGTCTCCAGCCGGATCCACAAAAGCCAGCACCCTCAGTGAAGATGGAAAAATCCCCAAAACCTCGACGACGGACGGGCCGCACGCGCGCGGCAACAGTACCGTGCCAAATCAACCCGAGCTTACCATCCTACAATAACCAGTCGAGCTCAAAAGGGGGAGGTGTTAGGACAGAGCTAAAACGACCCGTCAGATCGCGCATACCTCTGACTTAGACCACTCCAGCTGTGTTCTGTCTCCGCGTTATTGTTTGGGGTTTAGCAAGAATCTCTCGTGTCGTTCGTAGGTCT